CCCCCCCCCGCATCTGCGGGCTGGTCCTGAATTTCTGGGGTTTGGGGAGGAGTGGCTGAGTCCTGCCCAGGGCAGCAGGTCCTGCTCAGCCAGCCACTGCTCCTCCATCCACCGTCTGTTCCCCAAAGTCCCTACAGGACTCCCACCCCGCAACGGATGTTTCCTTTTCAGGTCCCTTTGCACTTCAGATTTACATTAAAAAAAAAAAAAAAATCCTTGTGCAAGAGGAGGAAACAAAAAACACGAGGCGACTCTTCCCCGTCTCCCAGGAAGCCCACTGGCCCTATGTTACTGGGTGGGCAGCTGTCCTGGGCCCAGGTACCACAGCAGTCAGGAGGCCCAGGCCAAGTGACCCCCGCCTCCTGCAGGACGGCAGAGCCTCAGTACTGGACGCCTGTCGCCATAGCTGCTTTTTCTGTGATCTCCTATCAGTTCTCTTTTTATTTTGAAATAAAGTTATAATTTTAAAATAGTTCATGACTCACAAGGAGTGGGATGGCCAGTTCCCAGGCATGCTTCCTCCAGCATCTTCAATGACGTCTTCTATGGCTGCAGGGAACCCAGGGAAAGGACATCCCGGTGACACCAGTAGCCCCACTATAGACCTTCTTTGGATTTTTCCAGTTCTCATCTCACCTTTTTTTTGGTGAGTGTGGGGGGTTTCATTATTTCTATGAAATTTTATCACCTGTATGGACTAGTACAGCCATCACCTCAATTATACAGGACTGTCCATCAACACAAAGACTCCTTTGTGTGTCCCTTCCTAGTCATACCCTTCCCACGCGTCCTCGAGCTCCATCTCTAACCTGGTCATTGGGAAGACCTTGAATGAATGGCATCCTACAGTTTGTGACCCACTGAGAATGGCCTTTTCACTCAGCATAATATCCTTCAGACACATTCCATGTATTGGCGTATTAACAGTTTATTCCCTTCTTTTTTACTTACTAGTATTCCACGGTACGGGTGCATCTTAGTTTGCGTATCAATTTACTGTTGGAAAACATCTGAGTTATTTTCAGTCACTAGCTATTCCAAATAAAGCTGATATGAGCCATCACGGGCGGGTTTTTGTATGAACATAAGCTTTCGTATCTCCAGGACAAATACCCAGGAGTTCAGCAGTTGCGTCATGGGCTAGGTATATGTTTAACTTTATAAGAAGCTGCCAGGCTTGCTCCTGGGGTTGCCACACCATTTTACATTCCTATCAGCAATCAAGGTGAGCTCAATAATTTAAAAAATTAATAATTTCATTAAAAAATGGTCACTTTATGGGGCTGGGGTTTTGGCTCGGCAGTAGAGCACTCACCTTACACAGGTGGGACCCTGGGTTTGATCCTCAGCACCACATAAAAATAAATAAGTGAAGTGGGCTGGGGATGTGGCTCAAGCGGTAGTGCACCTGTCTAGCATGCGCGCCCGGGTTCGATCCTCAGCACCACATACAAACAAAGATGTTGTATCTGCTGAAAAACTAAGAAATAAAATATTAAAATTCTCTCTCTCTCCTTCTCTCTTTAAAAATAAATAAATAAATAAATAAATAAGTGAAATAAAGATATTGTGTCCAACTACAACTAAAAAATAGTTTTTAAAAAATGGTCACTTTTTTTTTTCTAATGGTAATGGGAATTGGCCTCTGCGTGCTAGACAAGGGCTCTACCACTGAGCTATAGTCCCAGCCAGGAAATGTTCACTTTCTAATTAAAAGATAAAACTATCTTAAGGAAATCTGGCTTAAAATTCTTGTAATATTCTTAGAAGGCCGCATCTAGGCCATAAAGAGGAAACCAA